ACAAACAACATTTAAAATACAAAACTGCATATAAAAATGAATATTTATTTTTAATGAGATATTAAATCACAAGAATTATGACATTAAAAGTGCTGGAAAACACCACAAGCTCATAAAGCCCGGAAAAATAAATTTTATCATTATCTGCCAATTTTTATTAACTAAAAATTTTATTAATTGTCCTTAATAATTATGTATGTATATCTATACAGATACCTGTTTAAATATGCATGTGGATACTTCTATAAAAATATACAAAATTATTCTGAAATTAAGGCATAAATAATTTCAAATAGATCAAAATTATTGCTACCTTGTATTGAGATCCATAGTTATGTTATCAAATAATCGCTGTATTGATTAACATATGGATAAAAGTGTGTAGGAAGTTTGTCATTGGAACTCTTCTTCCTTTGGGTGGCTCTGCCATTTTGTGTGCCTTTTTGTCTGGGATCAGCAGTCTGATGTAACGGACATACTAAGATCCAATTTGATACACTGGGACACACAAAACATAAAACAACTTAACATAGTGCTGTGTCCACGTCCACTGTCCGTGGAACTGCCACAGCTTTGCACCTTAAAAACTCGGGGATTTGGTTTGATACATTCTATTTTGCATAATTCCCATCAATAAAGAAATGTATTTATAACTGTTTAAGGTGTGTTCTCAAATATACTCTTCCCAGGAGAAATTTTTCATTTTCATTTGGAATTGATTAGAGTGAAATGCTCTGCTTGTAAATTTACATGTCTGTTGTTTGTAAGAAGTTTCCCCAGACTAGCTTCTGACTCCACACATTTTAAGCCTATTTCTCCTCCTCACCTACATACTTCTGGTGCCAAGAGCTTTGGGGTCTGACATTGTATTATGCTCCCACCTCGGGTCCTGTGTCGTGATGCCAGGTGAGTCAACACAGCAAGAGTATTCCGGGAAGTTATTCCCGCTGACCTACAGCAACTGTACATGAAAGGGACTGTGAAACATATAAATATGTTCCACTGAACCAAAATTAAATATATGTCCCGTCTTAGCTGATCGAAAAATATAGATGCTCGCTGTAATGTCACTCAGTATGAGAGAGCAGAGATAGACATTTTAAGCAATTGTGGTTTAAACTTCTTTTTTGCAAATTTTACAAAATCTTCCATGATCTTGTGAACACATTGCTATAGCTCCTCCCAGGAGCCTTGGAAGAAGCCTGTACAAGTCAGAGTTTCTTTGGGAGAGTTTTCATTCATTCATTTTTTTCACTTGTTTATTCATTTTTTGATTGTCTAGCATTTATAGGCTGTTATAGTATCCACTGGTGCCCATTGTGTGACGGGACAGACAGGCAGATAGACAGAAGGCTAAACTAAAGTCCAGAGAGTCAGTCCCCTTTTCCAGTCTCTACTACTGTGGTTACTTCAGTAAGAAATAAAGGAAATTCTTTGTTGTCTCCTCTGTGGTTTGATAGCTGTTTTCTAAGGGGCCTCAAGGTGCAGGATGCCTTCCAACTCTCCTTGCTGATTTATCTGTGTGGTTCAGAAGCCTTGTACTTTAATCTTTTCCCCTGCTGGTGACTCCTATTTGACCAGCCAATCTCCCTCCTGCAACAACCAAGAGAATACAAAATTCTGATAGATCGAGTAGACATAGACACTTTGATAGAAAGAGAAACAGAACGTTGTATTCATCTCAGGATCTCTGAGTAAAGATTCTTAACCACAAATGGCACTTCCATCCCACCATTCCATGTCATGGGTGCCTGAGACTTTCCAAGAGAGATTCATTCTATTCTTGAAGGCCTATAATATCACAAATGGAAGTTTTTCCTTTTCTCCTATGCCCTTGGGCCAGTTACATCTCAATGAACCTCAGGCTCTGCATCTAAAAAACCTGGGTACAATGAGGGGAAAATGACAGAGCACTTGTGGTATGCTTGGCAAGCAGGAAGCTATGAATAAATATAATTTTCTTTCCATTAGGACCTGAATGTTCAGGACAGGAGCATTCTGCAAAAAGCTGCAGAACAAGCTTCCTCTTTGCAATGCTGTGTCCTCACGTGAGGACATAGAAGCTGTACATTGAAACCTCCATCTGGCTGGTTAGTCAGCATGTGACAGATCTTTTAGTGAATCTGTTCACTTAAAATATATTGCTGGAAATTAAAAAAGTATCTGAAGAAGAGAAAAGCTGGATAAATTGGTGAAGTTCTTTAGTTCATGTCCGTACTCTTGACACCAATCCAGGCACATGGGATTGTCCATGTATCAGAAATATAGAAAAAGCATGCAGTTATTTCCCATTTTACATTTTTTATTATATACCAAGTCACCTATAATGTTGCTGTTAGGGCAGATTGTATAATATTTGGTCCATATTGCACCAAAGAGAGGGATATTAATTTTCATTTGGGTTGGATCTGAAAATGCTATGCACACACTGAGCGACATCTCATTTTTCCTGATAATGATGTTGATATGTCTCTGGAATATCCATATGCTCAGCCTGTGCCGTTTCAAACTTGTTCTTCATTAACTATGGCTATACAGAAGCTGCCAAAAATTAAGTTCTATGGAGGATTTAAATTTGAGCTCAGAAATGAGTGAAATTTATCTGTAGATGGAGAAACAGACTCAAAGAGGTGGCGTTTACAGAGTCAAGAAGTAGCAGAGCTAGAAATTAACCCCGTTGGGCAGATCTTAAGGTTTGCTTGGAGTTCCCATGACACCTCACAGCTTCCCATCTCAGAGGAACTGACGAACAGAGGCAGTGTTCCTGACCTCAGCATGGAGAGAAACATGGGTATGAATTTTGCAAGTTGCTGCTTCACAAGTAAATGTGTGATTTCAGCTGTTCCAGAGTTTCATATGGAAGTATAGAAGGGATTTGCTTTTTAAAAAATTGATAAATACTCCCATATCTGCATTTCAAGTGTGTGAAATTGTGAGCTTCTACCTCAACTTGCCTAACATTGTGGAAACTGTAAACAAGGAAGGATTTAGGTGAGCGCTGTGCAACAAAGATCACGTCACCTTTCTTTTTAAGGATCCTATGCTTTTATTGATAACTTTCATATACATTATTTCATTGGTTGGCAAACATTTTCATAAAAGGGCCACATAGTAAGTATTCTGTACCTGTTTTCTTTTCACAGTGCTCTGATATAGATGAAAATCTGCTGAAATATATTAAGCAATTAAAATGATTAAAAGGTGTTTGCCTCCTCTGCCATCTCTTCCTTTTCTTTCTTCTTCTTTATTTCTTTTCCTCTTCATACAGTGGTTAAGAGCATTGGCTTTAGAGTTAAAAGCCTGAGTACAGTTGGGTGACGTTGGGTCAATTACCTAATCTCGTCAAGTCTCATTTTTTTTTCTGAAAAAGGGAAATTATAACGATATCTCACTCATAGGGTTGTTATGAGGGTTCAATAAAGTAATGCATGAAAACCATTTATAATCATGCTTGGCACTGAGCAGATGCTCCACAAATAGGTCCAGCTCCCTATTCCTTCATTCTCCTCCTCTTCTTTTCTCCTCACCCCTTCTTCATTGCATAAACAGCTCTTCAGGTACAGTTTTTAGTTTTATTGTTTTCCTAAACTGCAGGTCTTTGTATCCTCAGGGGATTAGTTTGTACCTCAATAGTTCTTTCCCAAAGGGTGAATTTTCTCGAAACCATCTCTGACATAAGTGCTTGTGGCCCATATGTGTATAATGTCATATGGCTATGTGCTTGCTCAAGGGTAGAAGCCCCTTAAAGCTACATCTCTTAGAGCTTTGATATGGTACTCTGAACAAGCATCCTTTTATTCATGAACCAGGTATTCTGATGATCCTGCGCTAGGCTTGAGTCAGTTTATTAATTCAGAAAATCCATAGCACACCTACTATCACCCTGATTCATTAAGGTTTCACAAACACACATAAGATTACTCTATCTTTGCAAGATTGAGAACAGAATTCCTTGAGAGTTCTGTTTTTCTCTTAGACATTGGTTGTGGTGGTGTTAATGGTACAGCAAACATGCATGAAATGACAGGCCCAGTAAACCTTGAGTGAGGTACTCTAATTTCCAATAGTCAAGGTTGTTTGTGAAAGTTTCACCTTAAGTCTCCTAGGGGAAGACTTCAAGCTACTGGCCAACCATGCTTCTCTCAGGACCAACCATGTCTCATCTCCATCAATGACACATGAAGACAGAAGGGCAAGCAGACGGGAATGTTCACACACAAACAAGGGCACTGGGGAAGTTGGCAAGCTCATCCTTCCCCTCCTGCAGCTCCTGCTTCTGTCTTTAACACATCGATTGGATCAAGCTTGAATTTTTCTTTGATCCTCCTGACACCCTGCTTACTATTGTTTGTTCAGCTTATGATTCTTCTGCCCCCAAGGTAAATCTTCATACTGCATGGATCAATAGGCTACGGGGGTCTTAATTAAAGCTTCAGGATAAAATTGATACTGGAAACTAAATTCCTCCAGTGTCTGGAAGAAAAGGAAATGTATTTCTCACGGAGGCTTTTTTATTGTCTCACACTATCACTTCTAAAGTTTGTTGAAACATTGGATATCACATGGTGGATTTCTGGGACACAGATTAGATACATAGATAGACATAAGAAGAAAAGTTGGATCCTTTGACAAGGCTTTTGGATCCTTAGGTGTCTCTCTAGAGGAATCAATATCTAGTGTAGTGGTGGGTGTTAATTAAAAAAATCTGAATGCTTATTTGAACTGCAAAACCCCCACAAATCTGGGTTTTAGGTCCCATCTCAGGTACAGAAAGACAGAATTGCAGAGGCATTTGGGAACATAGTATATAAGGGATTTGATTTCATTAATTTAGCTATCTCTAGCAGTTTTTCAGTAAGTCCCTTGAATGAGCCCTCAATCCTCCCTGCAGGTAATGGAAGCTGTCCCCAATCATGGTGCTGAAACATCTACAATGAAAACATTGAGCCATCAAGCTCTTAAAGCTCAAAGCTGATGATCAAAGATGTGAGGGCAGCTAGGGAAGCCATGAGAGTTATTGACAGGTTTTGCAGTCAGCAATTGTTGTCATTATTGGGTCTTGCTGGTGTAGTGGACTTACCATTCAATAGCTCTGTAACTAGAAAATTGTTTAGTTTTTATGAACCATTATTTGCCCATTATTAAGTGTGGTTAATATGGGTATCAAATGAGATTGGTATGTGAAAATTCCTATCATAACATTTGTAATATTTTTCATGTTTACCAGATATTAGTTTCCTCCCCAGACTTCTTTGGCTATCTGAGCCTAATATTCCCAGGAGCTATTGCTCTTGCAGACGCCAATGGTGGATCAGCCTGATAGGGGACCCTTTTTGACTATAGAAGAGTATCCAGCTATTTCTGCCATTTTTAAACACCTGCGGTATTCAGAATAATTTAAGGGGAAGATACTGTTGATGGATGACCTTTCAATATAATCAACAGAATAGGGAGAGAATCATAGTCTTATTCTCATGAACCTGATGGAATTAGCATCCTAGAACTAATGGGGGGAAGATGGAGGTATAGGAAGGGATGTGATGAAGACAAGGGACACATAAGCAAGGTAGTAGAAATTTAAGTAGTAAAAAAGTTGAAGTTTTATGCACCTTGAAGTATTTTTTCTTTAGCTTTAGTTAAATATTTAAGTTTGCCAACCAGATTATTGAAGAAAAGAGAATGTAAAAATACATTGTGGGGTACTTTCTAAATCTAGACATTTACCTGAGTCCTTGGGGTTGTCAAGTAGGGCCACACTGAAACACTTTGGCCTCTGTTTTCTGCTGTATAGGGTGGTTGATGTGCCATTCTGAAAGGACAAACATAAAAATATTTGTGAAAGAATACATAATCTCTTGGTGTGAGTTTCAAATTTGGAAAGAGAGAAAGTGTCAAATCCTATGTGAAATTATTAGGTGTAGAACATTTACTGCACAATTTAAAGGCACTTAAGTGCATATACCAAGGTAAACTCTGTCTCCTACACCTTGCACAACTCTACTATATTGCCTTGCTCTCTGAAGGCAGAGGGGGAGAAATCTTTCATAAATTAAGCCCCCATCTATGGCTGGAATAAATTTGCAGTTTGAGTTGAAGTCCAACTTTTAATTTTCAATTCATCTTTGGCAAAAACAGTACTTATTTCTGGTGACAGTTAAACACAATGAATGTGCAAATGATTCACAATAATTTGGTGTATATGTTGTAGTTACAGACATATGCTGGATGTTTCCCTGGTATGTGTGTGTGTGTGTGTGTGTGTGTGTGTGTGTATGTGTGAAAATACGACATCATGAAATGAGTACCAAATTAAAAAGCAGAATTCTAGGGCTTTTAGTTTTAACTTTTTTACCTATTGGCTGTGTGACTTTGGGAAAGTTCCTTAATCTTTCTGAATATCAGATTCTTTACCTATAAATTTATGATAATAAAACTCTGTTTATTTCATAGGGTTAATATAAAGATAAAATGTTTCTTATACTCTACAGCTCAGGTATAGCATTTTACTGACAGTTTCTAATCCCCTAGTCTGGCTGTGATCACCAAATCAAAGAATATCCCTAGTCATAGCAATTGAGTATAAATTTGGGATCAACCAATGCTAATGTCATTCAGAACATATACTTACGTCCAGGCTGCTTTCAGTCTCATGCATCTACACACACTTCCCCAGAGGTACAGACCTGGCATCATTCCTTTTCATACTTAGGGGCATCCAAGAATGAGTAAAGCCTCCAGGTGCACTCAGAGCCAAGACCACCATCCACATTGAAGAAGAGCAGGTGAGTGGTCACACAGATGATGCACCATATCTGACTCCCTCTGAACTCAGTCATTGTTTTGGTCCATCTTGTCTTGGCTCATAAGGGTTCTGATTTAATGAAGATTTAAATAAAGATAACCCTGAGGGAAATAAATGAATCACACAGCAGAAGAAAGCATTGAGGTATGACCTTATTTGCTGACTTCCAAATTAAAATGAGAAAATGGTACTTCCTTCTGTTAAGGAAAAATGTGATTACTAGTTATTTAAAATAGAAGCGAATATAAGAAATTTAGATAGAATAGAAAAACTTGTCCCTAACCCTGACCCCTTTTGGGCCATGAAAAGTCATTTACGCATTCTTGAACCTCAGTTTCCTCAGCTATAAACAGGGATATAAATTTCTTCCACACAGTAGAAGCTCAACAGTGTTTTGATGCTTAGATTGTAGGCTTCATGGCTGGATGAGTAGTCAGAAATATCTTTTGCTCTCTGCTTCACATCTCTAAAAAAGAGGGTGTTAGATACGGTAATTTCTAAATTTCCTTCATGCTTTGGCTTTGTTTGAGTTTATGAGGAGTATAGAGTTGTGCCAGGTCTTAAGGTTATCAAGCCAAACATCCTTCCTTGACAGATGAGAGACAAGTTGTAATTCCATAAAATGCATCTGCTCACCACTTACTACATCTTTGTCACTTTAATATGGTTCCTGCAGTAGATAGGGTGATGTGGTCAATGAGGAGTAGGAGACTTTACAGGATCCAAGGAATATGGCCTGACTTTTTGGGGACACAGCTATGGGCAGCTGCTCTTGGATCTTGTGAATTGTTTGAATACTCAGTGCGTGCATTCTGTGCAGTGCTGCAGGAGGAGACTCACAGGGCTCAGGCCTCACTGATTGAGAGGAAGCATAAGCAGATTGGGAATTGATTTGAAAGTAATGAACGTTTCATCTCATCAGGCACTTTCAAAAGACTTTGTAGAGTCAATAGGTGATGGGGGTCCTTTAATTAAAAGTAAAAGGAGAAACTAAAGCTTGACTACAGCATCTGAAAGGAAAGATGACCTTAGCGATGAGGATAAACATTGTCAGAATCCCAGGACAGAAAGAGCTGTTTCTATTGAATTGAAGTAATTTAAACACATAACACACAACAACAGCTGGGAGAAAAACTCATATGCATGCTAATATATCCTTGTCCAACAATTCTCTTCCTTCTGTCTAGAAGAGACCTCATTTTCATGACTTCACCTCATATGTAAAGACATAATGAGTGGGGTTAAAAGTGAGGTTCCACAGGCTATTGTTACAGGTAGCTTGATAATGGTGTGGTGTGTGCATGCCATAGTAGGTCCTGATATTGCTGTGACTTGAGATGACTGAATACAAGTATGGTGTGAACCCTTCTTGTGAACCAGGGCAAACCTGATATGAGACGCCTGGATCTGTTCAGAAGGAATAAGAACACTGACCTCTTCTCTGTTTACATTCTTTCATTCGTTGACTCATTTTACAAACATTTAGTTGGCATCAATTTTGGGAAATTTCCTACTCTGGAAATACCAGGGAAATAAAGATGAATAAGGCAGGGTCTCTTATTTAAAGGAAGTTATACTAATAGTGAAGGAGAATGACAGTCAATGACTAATTACGATGCAAGGTGGAAGAAAATAAGTAGAGGAACATACAGCACACTCTAGAAGTAGAGAAGAGGGTTATGGAAAAATAAATGACATCCTTTGAACATTTACTTTGTGCCTTGAACTGTGTTAGACTTTTTATTTATATCTTTCACCATCATGAACAATTCTGAAAGGGAGATAAAAATCCTTATTTACTGTTGAGTTAATCAAGGCTCAGGAGTTTTCAGAAGTTGCCCAAGGTCACACAGTGAACTTTAAAGCTAGGATTGTAAGCTTTAAAGCTTATATACCCATGGGTTCCCCATAGCAGCCTTTCTCCAGTGAACAACTGGAAGCAATAGTGGTCTGATAGTTGATTTCAGTGAGAAGTCTTAAGCAAAGGGTTTATTGATTTCAGTTACAGCAGGCTAGTAGTCTTGAGTGCCTTGATTTGAATCCTAAATTCTTGGAGACTCTGACTATAAATGTCCCCCAAACTTTTGCTGTCCTTAACATGGTTCTGGATGTACTGTGAAGTAGAAAGGAGGTGTGGCTGGGGAAAGATAATTGATTTTCTGGTTTCCGATTCCTTATCCTCCCAAAGTAGCCTATCATTTCCACTTGTCAGTCAGAGGGTCTGAAAATTCTGGGATGAGCATGCTGGGAACAAGGTAACACATTTTCTAGAAGGATCTGGTCTCAGTGTCTGATCTAGACGGCAGTCCTCTTCCTAGTTAGCTTTCAGGACCTACATTGACCTTCTTCCTTATTCTCTACTTGCTGCAAACACTGAATATGCATCAGGGAGAATCTGTACCTTCTGTTTTCACAGCACTTTAGAAACACATCTCTTTGGCTGTATCTTTATTCACATTATGTCCTCCCCGACACCTCTGTCTGGTTAAGCACGCAGATTTGTTTTCAACCTTGTGTTTCCATTTTTTGATTCTCTTGACAATAAGAACTGTCTTAAGTACTGTTTTTTAAATTGAAATTATTATTTTAAAATATTCAAGGAACTGTTTATTTCCCCAAATGTGTCTTAGACTTGTGAGAAGGGGCAGAGCGTGAGGGCTAGGAAAGAGGGTGGTAGTGATCTCTTTATTCATTTTTCTACAGTGGGATTTGGAGTTTTGTCCTGCCTGAAGCTGCCTGATATAAGCATGCAAGTCCTATGTTATATTTTCCCTACACTAAGAAAAGGCATTCATTCATAATCTGAGTGCTAACTAGGTGTGTTACTCAGTCCTAACCTCTCCCACACTGTCAGCCCTAGACTTGAACATCTAACTATCTGCTCAGCACCTCCACTTGGACATCTAAGGACACCCCAAAGTTACATACAGAATGGAACCCCGGATTCCCCTCTGCACTCCCTCACAATATGATTCTCTCTAGTACCTGTCATTTCAGTAAAAGACATCTTCATTTACCTATTTGCTCAAGTAAAAAATCTAGGGGTCATCCACTGATTCTTTTTTTCTTCACACCTCTCATCCAAACTATGAGGACATTACGTCAATTTTACCTTCAAAATATATTGCTGGTCCCACCCTTCTCACCATATCCAGCACACTCCATCTTAGTTCAAAACATCATCATCTCTTATTAGCCTTATTACTATAGCCTGCTAAAAGTGTACTTCTTTCATCCTTGCCACTCTAAAACTCGTTGTCTGTCAGCTCTAGAGTTCTCTTATACTCCCCATCATTATTAAGAAAAGACAGGGGCCAGCTCCATGGTGGAGCGGTTAAATTCGCACGCCCTGCTTTGGCGGCCCAGGATTTTGCTGATTCGGATCCTGGGTGTGGACACGGCACTGCTCATCAGGTCATGCTGAGATGGTGTCCCACATAGCACAACCAGAGGGACCTACAACTAGAATATACAACTATGTACTGGGGGTCTTTGGGGAGAAGAAGAAGAAAAAATAGAAGATTGGCAACAGATGTTAGCTCAGGTGCCAATAACAAAAAAAAAAAAAAAAAAAGAAAAGACAAAGTCTTTAACAGAACAAGTGTCTGCAGTCTGGCTCCTGGTTTCCTCTTGAACCTCATGTCCTTCCGCCTCTTCCTTTCATGCTATCTTCTAGCCAAACTGGCTTTCCTTCTGAACTTCTAATACACTCAGCTTATTCGTGACCTACAGTCTTTGCTAGATCAGGCTACATGGCATAACATGGCAGGGTTCTTTTCTCAGGCTGAAATGAAGGTGCTGGCTGGTTGCATTTTCATCTGGAGCTTGGAGGTCCTCTCCCAAGCTCATTCTTGTTATTGGCAGTGCTTAGTATCTTGTGGTTGTAGGACTAAAGGTCCCCTTTCATTGCTGCCTGTCAGCCAGGGGATGCTCTTGGCTCCTAGAGGCTGCCTGCATTCCTCATCATGAAGCTTCCTTCACTTTTAAGTAAGCAGTGGTGCATTGACTCTTTCTAATTCTTCAAGTCTCTCTGACTTTCCCTTCTGCTACTTGCTTGAAAAAACTCTGCTTTGAACAGGCTCACCTCATGAGGTTGAGCCCACCTGATAATTTTAAGATCACCTGATTTGGAACTTTAATTACATCTGCAAAATCCCTTCACAGCTGCACCTAGACTAATGTTTGATAGAATAACCAGGGAATGGGAATCTTAGGCTGGGGAGACCTTTAGATTTCTGCCTACCAGAGAGTTTTTCTCTCCAGAAATAATGTCAGTCAGAAGACACAAAGTGGCTTTGTGTAGAAGAGCCAAAAATTAGAAACAACTCAACAAGAGAAGGAACAAACAAATTATGGCATCTGTTCACTATGATTTGAATCAACAATAAAAATAATCTAAATACTGAAAAGGTCTAGGGTATGACCAGGGGAGTAAGTGCAGAAGCAGGATGAAGAATAAGTTCATTGGGTGACAGGAGGTCAAGGAATTGAATTTATCTCTAAGAAATAAATGGCTCACAAAGAATTATGACAAGGGCCATGGTGGAGTTAAGAGTTAAAATGATCAAAGAATGGAGCATTTGGCACTGGAGTCTATAGGTGACTGTAGCAAAGAAGAGTGGTTGGTAACAGTATGACGACATGAACATCTCCTTTCATTGCTGAATGTAGATTTGAATCTTAGGTCTCTGGCTTGATCACCTCATAGAAAACTCTTTGAAATGCTTTATGGTCTGCAAACTGCAACTAAAGTTTGCATTGCTTTGTCAACCTCATATATCTTCCTGGAGAAAAAATAGTAGTTGCAACAAAATCTCCCATTTTGAAAAGGGGAGGATGGGGAACCCTATCAGTGGGAAGTGGTATATAACAAACACATCATGTTGTTGGGAATAGCAAGGACTTATTGCCTTGGTTGTGGAATGAGATCGTTTCTCTTCCTTTCCTTGCTCCCAGGTCTGTTCTCTTGAAGGATCTTCCTCATGCATAAGGCCACATCTGGGAGGGGATTAGGATTCCCCTTCTGTGAGTAGTACTTCTTTTAAGGTTTGAGTGTCTAGAGATTCCTTCCCATTTTGAGCAATCCAAAACTGTCAATATTTGAGCAATCCAAACTGTAAAAATCTCTTGGAAATGAAAAACTCTTTAAAAGTTCATTGAATTTCTATTTAAATTCAAGAGTGTGTAACCAAAAGTAGAGATCCCATGGCATTATCATTTTTGAGTCTGGAATGGGGCTATGCTCTGTCTACTCCCCTAGCCTTCAGCTTAAAGGCCTGCCTCTCAGTTGCTATCTTGGCAAAATTCAAAACAAAAGGATGGATTAGAAAGACACTGTTAACCTCCCCCTGCTCCCAGGTGGCAGTAGTTACCTATTCTCTACAGTGGGCATATATTTCCCTTTTCTCAGACTATGCCTGCATACAGGGCTCTGGGTATTTGGCCTCTCTGAGTTTCAATGCCATTTTTTGTTTTTACCTCCTTGTCTTTGCAATAAGTAACCCTAGGCTCAGGCAGAGAATCCATATTTTACAATTTTACTAGACTCAAAATTACTAGAATCATAACTATCTTGAATTGTAATCACTCAGCCTAAAGAGTCTCTCACAGAAAATCAGTATTCTCCCCTTCCACTCTCTATGGCCACTTATTCTTTCAGATGGGCCAGTTTTAACTCAAAACCTCATGATGTGGAACCTTATCAAAGTCTCCAAGGAGTAAGCTTCCCACTTCAACATTCCAAAACTTGCTCACCAAATTCCCTAAGGCCTTGGGAGGCATTGGAGTCCAAGCCCTGAGATTTACCAGCTTCTTCAAGGGTGCCAACTTCTCAGACCAGACTGTGTCGTCTCACTGTCCTCATCCCCTTTGAGCCATGGGCTTCGCTTCTCATCTACCTTTCTTCTCACGTTAGTGAGTCTGACCCCCGATTTAAAAGTTCAAGACCTGTGGACAAAGAGAACAGATTAGTGGCTACCAGGGGAAAGAGGGGAATGGGGGGTGGGCACAAAGGGTGAAGGTTTGCACTTACAACACGACTGACAGACAATAACATACAACTGAAATTTCACAAGATTGTAACCTATCATTAACTCAATAAAAAATTAAAAAAAGAAATCCTTAACAGTTCAAGACCTGCAGTCTCATAATAGGCTTCCCTAAAACTGATAGCCCATCAGGACTCCGCCAGTTTTGAGGGTCTTTTGGCTCTTCTCTGCTTGCCTACCTGGATACTACCATTGGGCAGGGACAATCTGTCTTCTTCTACAAACACTAGTCTTGCCATCACCTGCAGACGCTGCTTCTTCCTGTTCCAGATCATGGTCTATCTCCACCAGAGTTTTCCTTCGCCCTGAGTTATATCCAGGCTCTTACCCTGCCTGGGCTGCCTTCCCAGTTTCCTCTCTGGCTCCCTCAAAGTATGACAGGTTTCTCCAAGTACTTTCCTCTCTAACCCTCCCCTTTGGTCGACCTTGAACCTGACCTCCACAGCCAAGCTCATTTTCCTAAATCAAAGTTTATTTCATAAATCCTCTCTGTTTAAGAGTTGACACTTGTTTCTCAGCATCCAATTTGGTCTGGCTCCATCTTTCTCTATATACTAGGTATCAATATGTTAGGTCCAATCTTACTCCTCACAACTCTATTTTTCATAGGATAGTTTCCTTTTTCTCTCCATAACCATGAAAATTCCCGTGTTTTTGTGTTTTCTTATGCTGCTCCATCTCATGCCTCCATTCTCTGTCTGCCAAAATTTCACTTATTCAGACCATTCCAAAAGTTTCTTATCCTTCAAGGACTATTAGAAGCCTTTCTTTTCTGGGGTTGTTCTCATATATTCAATTCCCCTTCTCCTTTAATCTCAGAATGTTTTCCCTTTTCACATCTGATTTCAATAACAAAGAATATTATTTCAAGTAGAATTGGATTAAAAATATATATTTAAAAAATTCTACATTGACTGAAGGCTTACAGTTCTATTTATGCCTCTCTCTCATTGCCAGGCAAAAAGGAGCTTAATCTTTATACCATCCTTAGAAATTATATTCAGAACCAGTTAAATCTGATCCTTAATTTTTATGCATGTTATCAAATATGCATTAATCTCATGCCCTAAGACCTATGAGTCTCCTTTCACTAGGTAGCTCCCCAACAAAAAAATATCCTAAGCAAACATTTAGTTGGAAAAATGAAATTACAGAAATAAAACTGGACTGGGAACTTTAGTTGCATCATTACTTAAAATATCTCATAAGACCCAGTTTAGTCACAGATAGGAAGAGGGCCTTTTTATCCCCTCAAATGAAGAGAATACATACTGACAGTCCTTCAATTACTTCCCGCTTATTTCTGTTTTATATATCTCAGCAGAATTTCAAAAGTCACATATAAGAAGAACCCCCCAGAGTGCAGTTTTATTTTAGCAAACTGTCACGAAGACCTTAGTGGTTCCAAATCAATACAGTAGTAAAAGACCAGCAGGAAGTGGATTAGTGGTATATTTAGAAGCCTTATTCAAACTTGGATAATGAGATCCTGAACTTACACCTGCCCCCTTGGTTTCCCTAGGAAAGGAAAACCTCAGCCTTGCTTGTAATTATGTATAATTGTTTCCTTGCAAAAAATAATGAGTAATTTAACCAGTGATCTGTTTTTGCTAGTTCAATCTGCTGCCACTCTCACATGGTGAGGTCTGGCAAGGATAAGACTGAAAAGTTTATGCTTTTAGTTTCTTGAAGCTCCTAAGTTCAAGTTTCTAGGGATCTCATGCTTTTTTCATCTTTTAGTTACTACACCTGTGCTGCAATTACTGGCAATGGAAGCACAAAGAAATGGCAAGAAAGATTTTCTTCAGCAGAAAAAAATCTACCTGGATTATGGCTTAGTGGTTTAGCAGAGATGAGTAGAGTCCAGCCAATCATTCCTTGACTGGGTGAACTCAACCTAGCTTGGCAGTAAAAGATGTTAGTAATGAGGAAGTGGCAGAACATTCTAGGAATGGATTGCATGCAAAACAAAGCTAACTAACACCTTTGAAATTGCCATCTATTTATATAGTAACTAATGCATGAATCATGCAGGTTATGGGAGCAGATTCCAAGACTAGGAGGCAAGAGAATTTGGTTTCCATCTGAGCTCTGACCCTTCCTAGTTGTGTGATCTTAAGTAAATTTCTTGACCTCTCTGGGTCTCAGATTTCTCACTTTTAATAAAAGGATGCGTAATTCTTAATGGACTTACATAGTTTGCTGACTGTACAGTGAGATCTGCAAATGCAAGGTAGCATTATTAATCAATGAACTCTTCAACCCAGGCCTCCATGCCCCCTCCTCTTAGTGGACTTACGGCAATGAAGACAGAATGAAGGAGAGCTTTCTCTTCTGGTGACTCCATTCATATTATGTGGACTTAGGAATATTTGCTAAATTCTGCCCCCTGAAACATAGCTCCAAAGGGTCATTCCAAAGCCTTATAAAATAGATCCCATAACAGCTCTTCATTAATCAACTGAGATATGCTGAAAGGGAATGCAAATAGAAGGAGGCAAAATAAGCTCTTATTGATAACCGTTCTTGGAACTGGGATAGATGTTTTACATCTATTATCTCATATAATCCTTATACCTACCCAGAGAATTATGTTAAAAATCCCCTTTTAATCTCTTCGCGGATCAGAAAGATAAATCACTTTACCCAAAGCCACACAGCTAAAGTGTGACATAAGCATAAATTTACCCAGTTTGGTCTGACTTTAAAAATGTATTTTCTTTTCGCTAAACTATACTGCTGTTACCTTCAAGAAACTTAGTATCTTAGTTAAGTAGAATCATGAATATTTATTTAATAATACTGGTCAAGAATAATTATATTGTAAATGGTAAGTTGTCTATATTATACACTATCAGTATCAGAGACAAGAGAAAAAGAGAGAAAATCAGAGCTTATGTCAACAAGTTGAAGGGGAATTTGATTCAAGTGTCTAGGTAATTGTAGCTGTGATTCTTCTGGAAACATGTGGGTATAGGAAGCATTTTTTTTAGCATGAAGTTGCCAGACAATGCCAGGAAAGCAAAACTACATAGTCCTCATTTTGAATGTTTCCAACACGAAAATTTGATTTAACATAACAAATGATTCAGCAATTACACAAACCAAATTGTGTGCCTTGAAACAAAATCCCAATCTAGGAGCAAGTTATGTGCTGATTCTGGCAAAACGAGGATGATAACCCTCTATCCATGACTAGAGATGTTTCTCTACTGCTAATGTGTCCAAGTGTGTGTTTGTTTTAATTAAAACATCCAATGGGAGATGTGTTTGGGCTGTGAACTGACGTAGCAATGTAACAGTGACCTGTTGCTCGTATTTCCATCACCATAGGCCAAAGTCACAAGAAAGAGAAACAACTGCCATCCCTGTTCCCCACATCATAGGGCAGCCGGAGAACAAATTAGGGTGAAAGTGAGTTTGTATAAATGCTCTTCTCACTTCTTTATGGCAAAAATAATTCAAATCAGTCAAGCACAGAGTTAAGTCTAAAAATAATGGTTTCAAACAGAGTATTAAATCTATATGCCAATGTCAAAAATAATAATACTAGGAAGAGAAAATGCATAATTATATAGTAATAATCTATATTCCCGAATTAAATAATAAAACTCAGGAAACTAGGAGAAGCAGTTAGGAAAGAAATTGTGTGTTAAATTCTTCTTTTTGCATGGGTGAATGCAATAGATAATGGTTGATTCTTTGTACAGTTATTAGAGAATTGTAGGTTCAATTACATTTTATAAGCCTTAAAGGTAGTGAGGTGCTGAAGCCGGCTTGCACTGACTTTTTTTTTTTTTTTTTTTTTTTTTAATAAGATTTTATTTTTCTCCTTTTTTCTCCCCAAAGCCCCCCGGTACATAGTTGTATATTTCGTTGTGGGTCCTTCTAGTTGTGGCATGTGGGACGCTGCCTCAGCGTGGTCTGATGAGCAGTGCCATGTCCACACCCAGGTTTCGAACCAACGAAACACTGGGCCGCCTGCAGCGGAGCGCGCGAACTTAACCACTCGGCCACGGGGCCAGCCCCAGGCTTGCATTGACTTTTAAGGGTCAACTGTGTGCATCTCTTCGAAACTCTGCATTCTGTGACATTATGTTGGTAGCTTGAAATTAGCCATGATGTTAATATTTATACCATCAAATTGGCAAATGGGACAAACCAGGGAGACTGTTTTAATTTCAGAGAGCCCGTTGTTAATGCACTGCTGCTTAAAGGTTACCGTGAGTAGATGTGTACCTTCCTAATCACTGGAAAAATAATTAAAACAACACGAGCCTATGGCAAAAGGCACAAAGCAAAGGAAAAAGCGAGGACACATGAAAACAGAGAATAACAGGATAATAGTAGCAGAACAAATCATATTAACATAATGTGAGTAGAAAAGAAGAGGAAGGTGTGTGTTCTAGTCAGAGGAGATAGCATCCAGAAAGATCTGGAGGCAGAGACTGAGGTGTATTTGAGATACTGAAAGTAGCAGTATTGAAATGGACAAGAGTTTAGAGAGAGACTGATTGGGTAAGCAGCCAGGATAAGATTGTCCTTTACGTCACATGGAAGAGTTCAGATTTCTTCTTAAGGGCGAATGGAGGTCCCTGAATACTTTAGGTAGCAGAGAGAAATGATCAAATTTGGATCAAAAGAAGCTTTTCCTGCCTAGAGGATGGAAAATAGAGTAGGGGCAGAGAGATGTGAAAGAGTGGAGGGAAGAAGTCCCCTAGGTAGCAGGCTGCTGTGACCTCCTGGAGGCGTCATGGTGGTCGACTGACTAGGAGAGTACATTTTGCACCCGACTTGGTGATTGTATGTCAGGGCTCATGACACAGGGATAGTTTGGAATGATGTTGATGTTTATGGTTTGGCAACTGGATGATGGTGGTGGTGTTAAAAAAGGGAGTAGTGGATTGCAATAGGCTTTGGGTATCTTGAATACGACCTCTCTGTGATAGCCCAGTGGATATGTCCAGAAAAGAGTAGACTATAGGGGTTTCAAATTCAATAGGGAAAATGTGGATGAGACATAGAAATCTGAGCACCATTAGCAGAGAGATAGTATATAGATTTAGACTGGGGATGAAGATTTGGAAGTCATCTGTACAGAGATTATATAGATAGTTTTGGAATTGATTGAGATTTCCTAAAAACTAGAGTAGAAATAGAAGCAGGTGTAGGACAGAATCCTGAAGAATACCGAAGTTTAAAGGTTGGGTAGAGGAAGGGACTTCTGCAAACAGGTCTCAGTATATGCAACACCTAGCACAGGGCTCTGCTCAAAGTAGGCACTCAAAGATCTGGTGAATGAATAGATAATGAAGGAAGAGTAAGGGAAGGAAATTTGAAGACAAAACAAATGTTGTCAGGCCCGGTGGCACAGCAGTTAAGTTCGCACATTGTGCTTCTCGGTTGCCTGGGGTTCACCGGCTCGGATCCCGGGTGCGGACATGGCACTGCTTGGCAAAAGCCATGCTGTGGTAGGTGTCCCACGTATAAAGTAGAGAAAGATGGGCATGGATGTTAGCTCAGGGCCAGTCTTCCTCAGCAAAAAGAGGAGGATTGGTAGTAGTTAGCTCAGGGTAATCTTCCTCAAAAAAAAAAAAAAAAAAAAAGGATGTGGTCAGAATGTACACCATACAAACAGAGGCAGATTTACTGTGAAGATTATAAAGCTGAAGTTTCAGGGCTCCTCACTTCATAGGCCTCTTCAAGACTCAATAACTAAACTAGCATTCATAATTGAGTACCTTTTAACTTTTCATAGAAAGGGTCCAACAAATAGTAATAGCTTCAGGCCCTTTTAAACCTAGTTCCATCTCTGTGTAGAATTCAAGAAGAAAACATATTGAACGAGGTAAAGACAGTCATTTCCAGAACATAATGTCATGAATCTTTGTGCACTGAACTACTGAGCTTTGAAAACTTGAAGTGCAAGCTATAGGAAATTGAGAAGAAATTGACAGGAACACAATGGTAGCAGGCAAATTCACCTCTTAGACCAGGACTAATGAAATACAGGTAAACAAAAATAGGGATTAGAGGATCTGAATAGCATAATTATTAAGGTTGGTCTAATAGAGATGTAGTTAATCTATATCCAATAAATTCCATAATTGGGAATAGTTCAAACTTTTCTCTTTGACCACAAGGCAATGCACCTTGAAATTAGTTTAAAAACAAAAACAAATGAAACTGTTACTTTAAAATGTTAAAAATCCCACCAAAGAATGTTCACTTCAAAGGTAACAAATGGGTATTTTAGTACACTTAACCATGATAATAAAAAATAACAATAATTATAATAGTCATAATACTATGTATTAAAAGCCATGTAAACCACTAAGTACTTACATTAGGAAACAGGAATAAATGAAAATAAATGCATAAGCATTTATATCAAGAAGTTAGTAAAAAGATCAAGTAACTTTGAGAAAAGCAAGAGTAAGGAAATAATTGGATTAACACAGAAATAGATTTCTTAGAAAATAGGAAAGCATCAGAATTAGTAAGTAAAGCCAACAGCTTATTTGGAAAACCAAGTGAAACAAAGGAGGTAACCCCAAACTTGCCAATCAAGTGAAAAAAAAGTGGGAGCGGTGAAGAAAGAGGTGTGCACACACAGAATTAGAAATGAGAACTTACCGTTAATCCAGAGGAGATCATGAGAACTCTATAAGAATATCTTACAAAACTCTCTTCAAATAAATTTGAATATCTAGATGAAATGGATAATTTTCTAGGAAAATACAAATTACTAAAATTAAACCTGGAAGATACAGAAGACTTCTGCATGGGCAAACAGACAAGATATTGAGAAAGTTTTGAAGACTTCTCTCTCGAAACAGTGCCAGGCACAGATGGTTTCCTGGGTGAATTCTTTCAACCTTCAAGGAACAGAAACTTCAATACTATTTAAATTGTTCCCAAGCAGAGAGAAAAAAGGAAAGCTTCCAAATTATTTTTCAAAAGCCAACATAACATTGATTCCAAAACCTCAGAATGAGAGCAGAGAAAACAAAACTTGAGACAAATTTCCATTATGAATACCAGATTGAAGTTCCACAGACACGTAGGGGTCTTGAGTCGGTTTAGTTCAAGATCTTAAAAAGGCTGGAGGAATTGGGCCCATATGTCTAGTCATATATACTGCTTTCTTATATTACAGTATAGATACAGATATTTATTTTAATTATTTTATGACTAAATATAATTTAATTTTTATTTTTTAAGACTTTCCATTACAACAACAATAACAAAATAATTAAGTTCATTCTTTTGCTGGACCCTATGTTAAGCTCTTTTTCAAGAATCATCTCTTTTAATGACTACTGAAACCCTCGGTTGAGAGAGGTATCATCATCATTCCTACTTAAATATAAGGAATCTAAGCCTCAGCGAATTTATGTCACAGCTAGAGAATGCTAGAGCTAGATTTTGGATCGAGGCAGATTGACTCTAGAGACTCCTCATTTTTCAAATGAATTTTAGTTGTAAAATTACTGTCATCTGGCACCCGGAAGAAGTCATGTGCTGTGCGGATCCCAAGTGCTGGAGAAAGCACTTTTTCATAAGATCTAGGGGTGTCATTTATGCTCCCATGTAATAAGTGTATTTGTTCTAATTGAGTAGTGGACAATCCAGGCTGGTTGAGGGCAGAGCTGTCAATCAAAGCCGAGGGAGTAGAAACCTGAAGAAGGATGAGTGGAGATCAGTATGCATTAACAGAATGGGGCAATGACATTCATGCCATTAGTAAAAAGAAAATTGTGTGTTGATCTTAGGTCAGAGGATACTTTTTTGGGCCAACGATTCTTGGGACAACTGAAATAGTAGACAAACTTTTGGATGCATGTACATCTAGGTGTGTCTGCAGATAATGTCTATGACTTTCAAAAGATTCTCAAAAAGGGTTATACATTCACAAGACATCACACATCCCTGCTGCAGATGGAAGTAAAAGTGCTAGAGGAATAAAATGGGTCCAGGAAGGAAAGGAAGTAGCCTGGACAGCTGTCCATTCCCAGATTGTGCCAGCTTTGGGGAGGAGGCATCAAGCTCTATCCTCTTCTCCTCTACCCTCCCCAGTAAGGCTCCCACTTCCAGTCTTTGCCTTCCTGCTCTTTCCTGTCCATTCCATGGATATGGCAGTAGGGGAGCATTCTGTGAATATTTCAGCCTTTATGCCTGTGCTGGTGTGTGTGTGTATGTGAGGGATGTTTGCCAAGGACCTGGATTACATAGGTGTTCTGGTAGCTCGCATCCTGGTCCTGAGACCCAAGGCAAAATCAGTCAGCTTAAAACCAAGGAACAGAAGCAGGAGGCCGATGCAGGGGCAGAGTTGGGATAAAGGATCGGTGTGCATTTCTTCTTTCCACAGATTTAAAATCACAAAGCTTCTCATACTGACCTGTGTCTTGCCAGGACTAATTATTCACTTAGTGCTTCTGTGCTCTGACTCAGTGCTTTCATATGGAGCCGGCATCATTTGGGATTAAAAGAAATAAACTGAAAAACTCATATTTCCAATGCTAGTCCCAGATAAAAAAAAAAAAAAGAAGGAAGAGTATGGTTGGATACTCACAAGAGTTACCATGTAGGGTGGGTTATCAGGTAGAAAATTATCTCTTACTGAGGAAATTTTCTTTTCAAACATCCTCAGTGTGAACTTTAATAGGCACAGCCAGAAAAGGAGTGTTGTGTTGCTAATACAGCTAAAATTAGCTATTGGAGGCAAGGTGTGTGGTGTCTTTCTTTTAACCAATACCATATTCTAGTTGGAAACAATGGAGCTGAGGGCAGGAGAGACAGTGATGCAAAAAGCAACAGGAGGAAAGAATCCAACAAAAAACTAAATTGCCCACAGCAAGAGAATAAATAAAAAACTGCAAGAATTACATATTTGTGTAGTCTCAAAGGCCTCATAAAAAGTAACTCTTTGATTTACTTTCTCCGTTTCCTGTAGTGGCTGCCAGACAAAATTAAAAATGGGCCCATGAAACTAGTGAGACTGAGATAGACATAAAGTATGCTTCAGAGGCTCCAGCTTTTAAGAACCTTTCCACTTAATTGTCTTTGGTTGCCAGCTATGGAGGAATGGAGCAAGAGAAGATGCAGGGCTGGCTTGAAACGCTTGCAGAATATCTCAACACTAAGCATTCTGCTCTGTGCTTGCTGATGGCTACTCTCCTGTATTTTAGCTGGATCCCAACACTGTATTCCTCCTTCCAACTGGGCTTATGCCAAGACTCAGGGAGTATAGATTGCTAGAGCAGGGAACATTTTGGAGAAGTCTATCAGTGTAATTCCCTCCAGAAATATCACTCAATGATTCCTAGCTTCTGATGAGGCCTTTGTTGGATATAGTTCTGGGAGTGGGAAGAGAGAATAAAATCTCTCCTCTCTGCCTCAATTCAGCTCTTTCATGATGGTGTATCTTTCTGCCTGTTTGGTGACATAATATACGGATTCATATGCAATAAACCTTCATTGCATACCTGCTGTAACAGTTATCTCTTGCCACAAGACTGCTATGAAACAACCACAAATCACAGTTCTATACAAGAAAAAGTGATTATTGTGTCTGCAATCAGCTGGAGGACAGTTAAGTGATTGCTGATCTTCGTTGGGCTCACTCATGAGTCGGCAGATTAGTTGGCCGGCTGTTGGCTAATCTAGAATGGCCTTGGTTGGGACATCTGGAATGACTTGGCTCTCATTCAAGTGTCTTTCATTCTCAACTGGGCTAGCATGGGCACATTTTTTTGTGTTGATGGCAGAGGCTCAAGAGAGCAGGCAGAAACACACAAAGCCTCTTGAGACGTAGGTCCAGAACTGGGACACTGGGACTTCTGCCACATTCTCTTGGCCAAAGCTAGATACAGAGTAGTCTGAATAGAAAGAATAAGATAGAAAGTAGATTCTCTCCCTTTAGTGAGAAAAACTGCAAAGTCACATGGAACATAACAAGGACACAGCAAGGGAGTAAGAAATTAGGGTTATCATTGCAATCCACTGCACATATTATGTACGCTCCATGTTTGTAGAAATCCAAAGTTTCTTTGACCCCCAAGCCTCTTTCCCTTTCTCTCATGTGATACACATGTTGTCCTCAGCCCATCATTGCTAGAGAGAAAGGCAAATCCTGACTATTTCACTATATGTGTCCTTCTCATGTGTTTTCTGGATCCAGAGCTCTTTGTGGAAAGCAGGAGTGGTATAAATGAATGTAGGAAGAGGTCTTTCATTAAACTTTGTAATGGCAGTGAAACCCACAGAGTGGGATGCTGTTGATGCCTCATTCAGATCCCTGCTACTGAGCTGGTGAACCCATTTCCCAGCTACTGTGAGTATAGGCTGTTAATGGTTCAAAGCTGCCCTCTTCTCCAGAAAATTACCTTCAGCCAAGCAAAGGCTGCCTTCCTCCATAAGTTATGCACACACACCCACCTCCCACTCCAGCAGCTTTTAGCCAATACTTGAATGAAATGGGAATATAATAGGTTGTCCCCTAGCTTGAAGGAGGAGCCAACTCTGTGGTGCAATTTGTGTTCCAGAGTTCCCTATGAAATCAGCCTGAAGTTAACCTTTAGCTAAAACTATGTCCTTAGTCTGCAGCTTTTCCGGATCCATCCTAGTTACCTCACTCCCATTCTCCTGAGAGCACTTCATCAACAAACGTGTAACTAAACCCCTGTCTCCAGCTCTGTGGCTGGGAACCCAAATAAGATAGCCATGTATCACAAATATAGTTAAAAGGGGAATGCATCCTCTTCTTCTTCATCAAAGATCAACTTGCAGTTCTGACTCTAGGGTAGCTCTTATGTAATACAGGTGGTTTCTTGCTAAGGGTCAGCAGTGCCCAGCAGGATATGGAGGGATGGCTGGCTGAACATTGGTGACCCTGAAATGCTTAGAATCATCAATCTTCCCTGTGAGACACCATGGAGGCTCTCAGACATAACTGGTTGAGACTTGGAGAAAGCAGAGGGGAAGGAGGTCCTGTGTAAGTAAGAGAGAAAAGAAATCAGTAACATTGGGATTATTAATGTTGATATGAGTCCATCTATCCTAACCATCCAATCTGGTGAGACCTGGTAAATCTTTTGCATTTGCATCCTAAGAAAGCTCAGTGATTTTGTTATACAACTGCTGGACCAAAGTATGTATCTCTGTATGAGATCTAAGGATGAAGACGTTGTAGTACTTAATATTTCAAAAGAGCTATTGCCTATTGCTATGTCTCCACAGGGGTCTCAGCAACCCCTGTGAAGTTAAGAATATTAGGTCTGCTATTAAGGAGCACTTAAGCTTTCATATTCCCCATTGACCTTCAAGCTAGCATCCCACCTCAGTCTTTATCCTTCAATTCTCCAAATGTTGGTCAGATTGATTCTGTAAAAGTTAATTCTTATCTTGTTACTGCTCTGATGAAATTCTTCTCTCCCCTTTGATTACAAGTTAAAATTCAGACTACCTAGCATAACATAAAAGGCATCTTATGACATGGTCCCCAATGCCTTTCCAGCCCTGCTCTCTCTTCAGTTTTTGCTGGATCTTGACTAAGCTACAGGCTATTTGCTGAGCAGGGCAGGAGTCTTGCCCTCGTCAGCCTGCGCATGTGATTTTCCTTGACTTGGTGTGTCCTCTTCCTGTTCTATGGCTGGCAAACTTCCAGTCTTCTGTGACAAGTCACATTCATCCTCACCTCTTTGTGGAGTGTCTTTTGACCATATTAATGCCATTTCTGCCTCAGGAATCTTATGTACTCATTATATTCATTCTGGGC